GAAGCTGCTGGGGGGGGGAAGAATAGAAATTTGGGGGTTCAGTACTCCGGACGAGCCTTTTTTTCCATAGGTGGAGCTTTGTACCAGCCGGTGACGATGGTGACGTCGCAGGGCCAGGTCCTTGCCCAAGCCATCGCCCCCGGTGCCCTGCAGATCCCCAACGCCCAGGTAAGATCTTCCCACCCCAGTTTTCCGTTTTACGCGGTATTTTGCACTGCTGCAGCAAGCAAAACCCCAATTTCTCCATAAATTCAACCCTTGGAGTATCCTAAATTTTTAATTAGTACAAAATGTTGATTAAATCCATCTGACGGGAGCTTTTGGGGTGCCTAAAACTTACAGCAATGCTTGTATTACCCCTATAGTGTATCATATAATGATCTATGATACACAGTGTACAGTGCAGTTTATGATGGATTACTTCTGTCATATTATGGATCTGGGATCGCCTGCATCACCTGTCTGGTACAGCAGGAACAGCACTCACAGGAAAAGCTCCGTTTTTCCCTTGCTTTATGGATTTTGGGGTATTCTTAACCCATTTGCTTTGGTTTTATTCCTTTTCTTTGGTTGTTACTATAGTTAACTATGTGTGTTACCTTGCATAGCTGCATTCTTGCAATAAATTGACGATTTGGGGTAAAAAAGGATTTATAAGGACAACTTGGCTGTGTGCCCATCATCTCTCCCAAACCCCCATCCCCAGGAATCCCCTCTGCAACGCTTTTTAAAAATTTCTTCAGTATCTCTCCGTCACCAGCTTAAATCTGTCAGCAAAACCCTCTGTGGTAGGAAAAACACGTGCGCAGGGAATACCAGGGCACGGAGAGAGCCCCGGACAAGCACCTCCGGATGCTCTTCCCGCACCGCTGGCATGATTTATTCAGCCAGAGCCCAGGGGAATCGCAGGGACCTGCTGGCCTGATGTTTAATTCATCCAGGAGAAGGGTTTTGATGAAGAGCTGGGGGAAAAAAAAAATCCCTTTTTAACTCAAGCGCTGAGATTTCAGTTGGGTTCCTGCAACCTCATTAAAACTTCTCTTGCGGCAAGATGTTTATTCTTTTTTGGGGGGAGGGGGTGGGGGGAAAGGCACATTTTTCACTCGATGGGCACATTTTTCCTGGTGGTGGGAATCAGCTGGGTGAGAAACACAGGTTTGGAAGGGGTTAAGGAGTGGCAGGGATTTAACCTCAGGCTCGAAAAGTCATCTTTTGGGTTGGGCTTTTTTTAAGATAAAAGTGTTACGCTCCTTAATCCCACATGGAAAACGGCCCCGTCGCAAAGCACTGGCAAAACAAAAGAGAAATATTAAATAGAGATCCTGGGGGAAAAAGGGGATTTGATGCAGTAATTTGTTTTTTTAAAAATGGGGCTTGGATGCTCCCTCCGAGTTCCTGTTTTTTGCACTTGCACCACTCCCCTTTTTGGGTTGGTTTTGCTCATTCTTTTGGGTTGGCTTTACTCATTTTTTTTGACTGTCCATCACTGTTTTCAGGCAATTCTCCTCCTCTCCCCCAGCAGGTGAACCTGGATCTCACCTCCCTCCTCGACGGTGAGGACAAGAAGTCCAAGAACAAGCGGGGCGTCCTGCCGAAACATGCCACCAACATCATGCGCTCATGGCTCTTCCAGCATCTCATGGTGAGCACTGCAGCTGCCAAAACACCCTCCAGGCTGGGAGAAAAAAAAAAGGCAAAAAATCCCCAAAGGGGAACAAATTCAGGTGGTGTTTTATCTGAATTCATTGTCAGAGGCACAAAGTGGCTTTGGTTTCATTTTGGGAGTATTTTGGGGATGACTGTTGTCACTGCAGGTGGCCAAAATACTCCCTTAATGCAGGAATAAGCAAAGAAAAAACGAGGGGGGCTTCCACAAATTATTGTGGATGGGTGATGATGTGGTTTTTTACCATTAACAGCTCCAAAATACCCTTTTCCAGCAAGCGGGGGGTGGGTGGAAGCTGCCCCACAGGTACGGTCGTGGCACATCAGGGATACAGAATGACAAAATCACCCCATTTTGGGGAATGAAGATGTAGGTAGGTGGAGGGAGCTCAGAGGATGCAACCAGGATACTTTCATGCAAGGAGATTGCTCTCCCACTAGCAGGGCTGGAAGAAGGCCAAAAAGCTAAAAGAAAACCCCGTTTCCTCAGTAATTCGGTCCAGAAATCACTGGGAAGCTGGTTGCACGAGGGTCTCTGGGAATGTGGGAGACCCACAGGTAACAGGAAGACAGAAAATAACAGCTCCAAGGAGCAATTGGGGGTAAAACATGACCCGGGACATGGAGCAGCAGCTGGTTGAGAACTTCCCAGACTTTTTTAAATAGGAAATTTTGGATTTATTGCACTGAGGACAAGGCTGGGAGCGTGCTGGGCTGCCATCCCAAGCTGCGTCGTGCACCTGCCCTGTTTTTGGAGGAGTGAGCTGCAGATTCACAAGCAGAAAAAAGGATTTGGAAGACCAGAAACAGCTGGGTGTCAGGAAAACCCCGTGGTTTGAGATTTCCAAAACTGGACTGGAAAATTGAAAGAAATGCTTTTGCCGGATGGTTGGATCTTTGCTCTCAGCCCAGTCCTCACGGTCAGAAGATGCTTGGGCTTTCCCATGGGATTTCTCCATCATAAATGATGTGGGTTTTAATGTAACAGCATTGATGATCATCGTTTTATCGGGGTCTTTCATAGCACCAGCAGAAGGAAGGAATCCTGGAAATAGTATGTCAAAAACAGAGATACTTTTGCAAAAAAAGAGACGTTTTTAACCACTCCAGCATCCCTGAGGCCCTGGTGAGATGAGAGTTTGCTGTATGCCATGACTTCGGGTGGTTTTGTCATGGAAATCACGACTGCTTTGGGGCCACACAAGTCGTGTCAGTCAACACGGGAGCTGTTCTGGGGCTCTGAAAAATGACGTTGGGCTGGTTTGGTAATAATTTAATTTTTTGGGGACGGCAAGGAGGATTTCAGCAGAGTTGTGAGGGGGTTGTTGAGGCTTTGAGTGCTGGTAGCCTCCTGCTGCAGAGGTTTAAGGGTGTTTTATTGCTGCACTTGGCAAGGAGTGCTTTGGGTGGCTGTTTTGAAGCCTGAATCCCACCTTTACCAACAACCATTATTAGAAAATTGCTAAAACACCCCAAAAATAATATTTTCCTTCAAGGAAAAGCCTTGGATGGAAAGTCTTGGAAAAGCCCTAAGGACACTGGGGAAACCGTGACATGATGTCACCCTGCAAATGCAGGAAGCTGCCGAATTGGAGGTGGGAATGAAAAAAAAGGGGGTGGAGGGTGTGGGGTTTTTTTTCCCCCTGGGGCTGCTGCGTTGCACACAGGGATGTCATTGTGCTCCCCCATCTCTCTCTCTTCCCCAGCACCCCTACCCCACAGAGGATGAGAAGAGGCAAATCGCCGCCCAAACCAACCTGACCCTCTTGCAAGTCAACAACTGGTGAGCCCGTCGGTGGCCCGTGCAGTCGTCTTGGTGGCTTCAGCGATTTTTCTTTTTTTCATGCTATTGTGGTGCTCTATAATGTGGTTTTTGGGGGGTAACTGGGACGGTTAGGAATGATTTCTGGGAGCTGGCGTGTTTAATGGGCAGCATTCATTTGCGATGTCTCAGTGCCATCTCCTGGCAAACCCGAAATGTTGCAGCCTCCAACTCGGCTGGAAAAACACAATGATGCCACAGGCAAATTAAATAGGCAAAAAAACAGCCTTTTGGCCCACGCAGCCACTTTTGAAAGGGTTTTATATTGCAGTTCATTCAGTTGTTATAATGTGTGTTGCTTCAACTCAGAATTGCTGTAACATTTGTCTCCCTTTTCCCTGGGAAGGTTCATAAACGCCCGGCGACGCATCTTGCAGCCGATGCTCGACGCCAGCAACCCGGACCCAGCCCCCAAAGCCAAGAAAATCAAATCTCAGCACCGGCCCACCCAGCGATTCTGGCCCAACTCCATCGCCGCTGGCGTCCTGCAGCAGCAGGGTGGCAATTCGGGGACAAATCCTGATGGTAAGGACAAACCCTAATGGCCCCTGCCCGTCTTGGATGGGGTGGCCACACTTTAAATTGCAATGTTAATTGGTAATTAAGGATTTCTCGAGCCCTTTATCACCCTGTGGAGAAAAACATGTTGAAGAGGTGGGCAGTGCAAGAAGGTCCTGTGGGTTGGCTGTCACAAGGGCACGGCCATCCTCCCGGTGTGGGAACAGTCCTCAAGGATCACCCACTGCTGGGCATCACTTGGGGTATCTCCCAAGGTGCTGGGGAAGGGGTACAGGGGGAGGTGGGGAGAGGAGACAACATGAGGAAAAATGAGAAGATGAAGATCACAGAATCACAGAACGGTTTGGGTTGGAAGGGACCTTAAAGCCCATCCAGTTCCCACCCCCCTGCCATGGGCAGGGACACCTTCCACTAGACCAGGTTGCTCCAAGCCTCATCCAGCCTGGCCTTGGACACTTCCAGGGATGGGGCATCCACAGCTTCTCTGGGCAACCTGTTCCAGTTCCTCCTCACCCTCTCCGGGAAGAACTTCTTCCTGATACCTAATTCATTGCCAAACTTCAATCAAAACAAGGAGAACAGTTGCACGAATCATTAGCATCTGCAAGATTTTAAAACTCAATCACCATAGTTTCAGTTCAAACTAACCCATTAGGAAAATAAAAAAAACAGTACCTTCATTTCTGTATAATTAAACTGATGTCCACTGGGAAAAGATATCCCCAAAGATCACTACCTTTTGGAGCCTGCAATCTGCAGTGTGCCATGAAATTCCCCGAGTCCCAAAATACCCTGTCCTAAAATGGCCCAAATCTACCCAGCAACCCAGCTTCAGGTTACCCTCGATGGGTTTGTTATCTGAAATGTCATTTTAAATGTAGAATTACAAATACAGACCACCAGACAGGAGCTTTTCAGAATGTCCGGATGAGACAAGATGGGAAGAAAATAGATGAAGAGAGGACAATGACAAAAAAGAGGAGAGGATGGGGAGACAGGGAAGCGAGCAGAGATGAGCATGGACCTGACGAGATGAGAAGGTGAAGGGAGGGAGGGTATTAAGAGAAGATGAAGTTCTGCCCAACAAACGTGGGCATCTGCTTTCTCAAAACCGAAGGCTTCTTGTTACTTAACGAAGATTCATTAGCTAAAAAACTTACGGGTTGGACTGTGGGGAGTGGCTGGGGTAGGTGGGGCACCCGACAGGGTGCTGTGTCTAGGTACAGCTTTTCTCGTGAGTTATTGGGGTTTTGCCCAGTTTATCTCGGCCGGGCACTCCTTCTTGATGTGTCATTTTTAATTCCAGGCTCGCTCAGCATGGACAACCTGCAGACCCTCTCGTCAGCCACAGCCACCATGGCCATGCAGCAGGCCATGCTGGCGGCCCACGACGACTCCCTCGACGGCACTGACGAAGAGGAGGAGGACGAGGAGGACGAGGACGAGATGGAGGAGGAGGAGGAAGAGGAGGAAGAGCTGGAGGAAGAGCCTGGTGGCCTCCCGGCAGCAGCCGGCACCGACCTTGGCTTGGACCACAGTGACTCACTGGAATAGCTCCTCCTGCGCACTCTCCAAATCAGTGACAGCACCGGAAATAAAATTCCCCCCAAATGCCAAAAAAATCCGGCACGAACAAAAACAAAATAGGTGAGAAAAAAGCAAATTGGAGGTGCTGGTGGATGCCTCGGCTGCCCACAGGAGCACGGGGACTACGTTGGCACGTGGAAGTGAAGGACACATGTTTACAAGGCACATATTGTGGCCAGATTATTTTTTTTTTCAGGTTTTATTCTTATTTCCCCCTTTTCCCTTCATTTTTGGTAAGAAAAAGCGTTTTTAGGGGAAGCTGTTTTCCCCACGCGATGCTGTTGGGAGACACTGGGTTTTCACCGTGGGCCACCGCGTCCGTCACGTGGATTTCTTGGTGCAAAAAAGAAACCCTACTCCAGGACTGATGCTTTTTGGGGTTTTTTTCCCCAAAAAGATGATTCAGAAGCATAAGTGTATCGTCATGGGGGGGGAAAAATCGGCGAGTGCAAATTCTGCTTCAGGAGGGTTTCACGCTCTTGACCCACCAGTTTACCCAAACCTCCCTCTTTTGGCTCTGATGCTGCGACTGTTGGTGACTCTGGATGCAACCTTCTGGAAAAGGGAGGAAATCCCCCCAAATCCTTTAATTTATGTGGTAAAACGCCATCGAATCTGGAAAAATCACACCCCATCCTCGTCCTTAAGGACTGAGTCGGAATGCAGAGTTGGGGCAAAGGCTGCAGGAGCAAGATTTTCCCAGGGTGTTTTGGCACCAAGTCAGGAAAAAGCAGGGAAAAAATAGGTTTAAAAATGTAGATTTTTCAAGCCAAAATTGAACGGCAACCCCCAAGATTCACCCAGGTGGAAGGAAATTCAGTATTATTGCTGGAAAGATGGTTTCTCCCTGATACCGTCCACCCGCATGGGAAAGTGTTGGAGTTTTGCCCCAAACAAGCCACAGGGGGAGAGCGGCTCTGCAAAAAAACCAACGAATTTTAGGTGTTTTCTAGGAAAAGGGCGAATTTCACCTTAAAACGCGGCGGTGGGAAACGCAAAAGGAAACCCAGGTGAGGCAGGGCAAAAATAATAAAGGGAATTTCTTCTGCAGGTTCCTTCTGTAAATGCAGGTTTCTGTACGAAGGATTTTTTTTGGCGGCTTTTTGCCATTTTTGGATTTTTTTTTTGGCTCTTGAGGAGTTGAGAAAAAAAACCCCAAACAGCAGCCGGGGGAAATAAAACAAAAACATGAGTGATGCAATGGGCAGAAAAGCCTATTTTTCGATACTGATCTGGCGTGAATGTAATCTGTAATTTCATAAAGGATTCATTGTAATTTAGTATTAATTCATGGCCATTTATTATAAAGTACTACGAGATGAGGTTTTGCAGCTGTATTTTATTGGCAGCTTCTTGCAGTGAGCAGAGAAACCCCCAAAATGGGTGAATAACCCCTCAAAATGGGCAAAACTCCCCTCAAACAGGCGAATCAGCCCCCAAAACAGGTGAATTGACCCAAACCCGCACGCGACTGATGCGGCGCAAATAGGATTTATACCTCTGAAAAAGCCATCCTCCCCTCAAAATAAGTGTTCCCTCCCTAAATGAGCTCCAATCTGATTTTACCCCAAAATGAATGATGCTTCCCCAAAATCACACCCCCAAAATGTTACACACACCTCCTCCCTTCCTGCCCCGAGTCACATTAACCTCAAAATGATGGATATTCTCCAAAAATGAGTGATGCTTCCCAAAAAGGAACGGTATCCCAACAAGCAAATCCCCCCTCCGCCCCCCGTAAGTTATTCTCGCCCCAAATGAGTTATACGCTCCAAAAATGAGTGATTCTCCCTCTAAATGAGGGATGTTCACCCCTAAATAAGTTATAATCTCAAAAAACTAGTGATTTCCCCCAAAATGAGTGATGCTCCCCCGAAATATTACACTCCTCCCCCCCAAATGCTCATCCAAGATGAGTTATATTCTCCAAAAATGAGGGATGCTCCCCCAAAAGCAGCATCCCACCCCAGAATGGGTGATGTTGCCCCAAAATGTGTTATACTCCCCAAAATGAGGGATGCTTCCCAAAATTGAAGTGTTTCCCCCCAAAAAGTGGTATTTCCCCAAAATGAAAGATACTCCTCCAAAATTAAAGCGATTTTTTTTCAGGCAGGATCTCTCAAAATCTTCTCAAAACCACAATGCTCCCCAAAATGTTTCCCCCAAAGGAGTGATTCTCTCCCAAAATGAGCAATAGTCCCCCAAATGAGTGATGGTCCCCCAAAATGATGCCCTCCCAAACTAGCAACCCCCCCAAAAAGAAAGACTCCCCCCCAAAGCAAGTGATACTCCCAAAAATAAGTAAATCTCCCCAAAGTGACTTCCCCCAAAATGACAGAATCTGCCCCAAAATGGATGACACTCTACAAAAATGAGTAATGACCCCGAATTAGTGACTGTCCCCCTAGATGACTGACAAATCTCCAAACTGAGCAATTCTCCCCAAAATGGAAGCCCTTCCATTCCCTAATGAGCCATTGATAATTAACAGATTGATTTTCTGGGGGGAAAAAAAGGGATTTTAGCACAATTTTTAGCAGAAAATGGGGCTACAGAAAAGCTAAAAATGGGAGAAATCCCCTCAAAATGGAATTCGTGGACGAATTTTGCCCCTCTGAGCAGGGCAGCTGCCTGTGGTGCTCCCCAGCAATTAACATAGTCTATAAATTAATGAATATTCATGAGCATCGCAGCAAAATTTCCTTGTCCGCGTTTTCTGCCAGAAGAAGGGCGTTTTGCTGCCGCAGAGCTGCACACCAGCGTCGCGGGGGGGATGAAGATGCCAGAGGCCAGTTGCTTAATTAATGAAATGTATTATTTATTTCCCACCTGTGCAAAGGTAGAGGGAGTGCAGGGGGGAGCGGGGGGAGTGCGGGGCCAAGGGCGACCCATTTTCCTTGGGTTTGCCCCCATTTTCAGAGAGGCGTGAGGGCAGCGCCACATCAGGTTGGGCAGAGCACTGCGAAGAGAGAGGTCATGGGTGTGCACCGGCGTGCACCGGGGTTGTGTGGGGTCGCACGGGGATGCAGAAGGGTGCACGGGGATGCACGAGTGTGCACGGGGATGCACGAGGATGCAAGAGCGCATACAGGGATGCGTGAGTGTGCATGAGGATGTGTGAGTGTGCATGAGCGCATACAGGGATATGTGAGTGTGCACGGGGATGCCCAAGCGCACCTGAGGATGCACGAGGATGCATGAGCGCATACAGGGATGGGTGAGTGTGCACAGGGATGCACGAGTGCGCATGGGGATGCGTGAGTGCGCACGGGGATGCACGAGTGTGCACGGGCGCATACAGGGATGCATGAGTGTGCATGGGGATGCACAAGCACACCTGAGGATGCATGAGCGCATACAGGGATGCATGAGTGTGCACAAGGACGTGAGTGCACATGGGGATGCCTGAGTGTGCACAGGCACATACAGGGATGTGTGAGTGTGCATGGGGATGTGTGAGTGCACACAGGGGTGCGTGAGTGTGCACGGGGATGCACAAGCGCACCTGGGGATGCAAGGGGATGCACGAGCGCACACAGGGATGCGTGAGCGTGCACGGGGATGTACAGCAATGCACAAGTACATACAGGGATGCACGAGGGTGCACAGTGGTGCACAAGCCTGCCTGGGGTGTGGTCTGAGCATGCACGGGGATGCACGGGGGTGCAGCAGGGCTGCACGAGTGTGCACACACACACAGGCATGCATGAGGATTCACGAGCATGCAGAAGGGATGCATGAGCGCCCACAAGGGCACGTGGGTGCACAAGGATGCACATGCACCAGTGTGTGCTGCATGAGGCTGCCCAGTGGCTGCAAACGGGACGCACAGGGAACGCAGGAGCATGGAAGGGATGCACGAGGAATGCACAAGGCACGCGCAGTGGTGCACGAGGCATGCGCAAGGATGCAGGAGGCTGCAGAAAAGATGCACAAGAGCTGTGCACGAGGATGCATCGGGATGCCCAGGGATGAATGGAGATGGGCGAGGGATGCACAGGAAGGATGCACACTGGTGCATGAGGGGTGAAAGGGGGTGCACAGGGGTTCACGAGGCTGCATGAAGGAAGCAGATGGACCCCATAACGGTGCAAGGGAGGTGCAGGGAGGATGCACAAGGACCTACAAAGGTGTGTGAGGATGCATGAGCCCTGCATAAGAGATGCACAGGACACGTACCCGTGATTCACGGAGGATGCACGAAGGCTGCACCAGAGGGGTGATAAGGGATGCATGAAGGATGCGTGAGGGATGCATGGGATGTGTAGAAGGATGCATGGGAGGTGTAGAAGGATGCAAGGGAGATGCACAAGGATGCAGAAGGGGTGACCGGGAGATGCAGGCCATGGTGGATGCCCAGAGGCACGAGGGATGCAGAGGAGCTGCACGAAGGATGCACGCGGGGTCCACGGGGGATGCAGGAGGCGAGCGGATACCTTTGAGGATGTAGTCCGTGAGCAGCGTGGGCACCTTCTCGTTCCCCTCCTTCATGGCAAACAGGACTGTGAGGGAGAAAGGAGCTGTGAGCTCAGCCCCACCACACCCCAAATGTCCCTTTTCCCACCCAAAACCAGCCCCACAGTCGCCAAAGACACACTGCCGGAGTTCCCAACGATGCACCAGGCCCGAGAGCATCTGAAACAAGCCCCTTCGCCCCCAGCCAGCCAGTCCGTGGCAATGCAGAACGGGTGTTCTACCCCAAATCGGCACTGGTGTAGGGTACAAAAATTGGGGGGGGGAGGGGTTTTGCTGCAAATGCTGTGCTGTGATGGTGCAAAACAGCCGATCGCACCCCAAGCCAGCTGCGATGCCACGCTGCAAAGTGGGTCTTTCTTGCCCAAAATGGGCTTCACTGCGATGACGCAACGTGGGTGATGGCACCTCCAACTGCCCGTGCTGCAACGATGCAAAAAAAAGGGGGAGGGGGGACGCCCCCCAAATAGGCTGCGTCACAATGACGCACCCAAATCACAGCCACTGCAACAATGCAAAACGTCCCAAATCCACCATGCGGGGGTGATGCAAAACGTCCAATTCCGCCCCAAAACGGCGGCTGGAAAGCATACTCACTGTTAG